AAAAAATTAGCATATACTAAAGAAAATGTCAATTCATGTAGGAGTACCAAAAATAGAAAAAGGAAAATTGCAATTCTTATTTATGTCGTAATAATCTTAAAAATTACTTTTCTTGAATATTATTATATGTTACATTAATTTTGGTTTAAAGGACAATAAAAGTGCCGTTTAAAAAGAAAAAGCAACTTCTTTTTCAACCAATGAATTTATTTTTTGAAAAAAAGAAACAAAAGAAAGAGATTATCTTTTATTAATCTTTGAGTTATATTTAAAATATTATTCATGTACAAATATTATCTATAAGATTTTTTTTAATTCTGTTATAATTTTCAAAAAGATTAGTGTTGATAAGCTTAACAACTTTCAAGTACTATTTATTATAACAATGATAAAAAAATTAAGATATTCTGTTAATTAAAATATCATAAATAATAACCAAAAATTTTAAATATTTTTAATACATTAACATATAAAAGAGATTTATTAATAGTATTTTAATAATTTTTTAGACAATTTTAACATTTTAAATATTAAGATATTACAATTTTTACTCATCCAAAAAAAGAAATTCATTATCCTAGAATTAATACCTTCACTAATTACAAATTTAAAATTGAATGTTATCTGTTACATAAACCAATTATAGATAGTATTGATTTTAAAATTAAGAGTTATTTGCAATTTTACTTAATTATATAGAGAGTTTGACAATTGTTTATGAAATGAGGCTTTTTAGTTTTTCGTTTTTTTCATTTTTGTTGGACCTTAACACCACTTGGAATTGTCCACATGGATGTTTATGCCTCTTTGGTTGACATTATTTTTTTCTTTTTGTACTAATCTCTCGATAGGCGATAATTATATTGAGTTTCGATTAATTTGGAATCGAACCATGTTGAACATCATTTGGAAAAAGTTCTTTCAATACCTATTTTTCTATTTATAAAACTTAAACTCGAAACCTTATTTAAAAATAACTGATGTTTTCTTTTAAAGTCTTTCTATTTGGAAAACCGAAACGGAATGATTTTATTGTTAAGTTATTGAAAAATTGAGGTCTATAAAAAAAAGTTAAGAACCCAATCGAAGTCCCTATACAAGGTCAGGGACCAGATATACTTTTTAACAAAGAGGACCCAATTGTTTATTTTAATTAATATAGGACATAATGTGGACCCTTCTGTTTTCATATAACATTTACACGATTCCCCTTCCTTGAGTGGGCAAGAGGCAAAGTTACATTGCACCTAAGAGATAAATAGGTGGGGCCAAATTGAAAACTACTCGAAATTTAAGCCTCTAATCAAGTTTACACGTTAAAAGAGATTGTAGGTGGACCCACCCCCAGAATCATTGTTAATAAAGAGTGTTTAGATTTGGTTTAGTTTTAAACATTTTTTTAATTTAGTTTTGAATATTTTTTCAATCAAATTTAATCGCTTATGGAAAAGGATATCCTTCGAGTTAGTAGTTGTGATCAAGTAAATGACTCAAACTCAATTTTTTAATTATTTGTAGTTAAAGTGTTTTTAAATTAATTTTTTAATAATAAACTATTATTGAAAATTATGAAAATTGAGTGTTTTTTTTTCTTATCTATGAAAATTTGTGAGAAGGTTTCAGTTTAAACACTACACTAATAATACGTTAAATTATTTAAATTTTTATCATATAATTTTGTTCAACTTTAATTAATTGACTTTTTTTTCTCTAACAAAATAGAAATGTAAAAATTAATTGATAAAAATTTATTTTTATCAATTAATTAATTATTATTTAAATAATTGTTTTTATTATGTGAGTTATTATTATTTTTTAAAAATAAATGTAAAGTAAAAATTAATATATTAAATTAATTTTAAAATAAAAGAGTGAATAACTAATTTTAAACATATCGAATTAA